CCCGCGCCCCGGCCCCACTCGCACTCCGCCGCCCGCGCGCGGGCCTGTCTGTCGACTAATCAAACATTTCCCATGGCGGACTGAACTGGCATTGTTCCTTCACCGGGGGCTGATATTGTTCCTCGTCAATTTTACTTTTCCCGGCGGCCGTCAGCGCGGCGGGCGTCTCGACAGCAGCAGCGGCGGCGTCTCCTCTGCTCCGGGAGCACTGCTCTTCCGCATCCGACACAAGAGTGGACACCTCCCTCCCCGTGTCGAAAAATATCTCGAATGCTCCGCGTTCCTGGGCGCCGCCAAGGTGTATCTGTTCCGCCGTCGGGAGGACGCCCCCCACCCCCCTCGCGTTGCGTGAGGGGCATAATGACGGACGGAACGTTGCGATGGAGGGAAGACCGGCCGAGCCAGCGCACCCGCACCGCGCCGGTCGTCGTACAGGAGGACCTCCACAGAGACCGAAAACGTATTCATTAAAATAATAAAAACGGTCTGTGTGGCCAAAAGAGCGTATTATCCACACACACCACAAACACATTTCTACGCACAGCAGCCGCCGCTCTCGTTCCCACAGAGTGGCGCAAAGCTACGTCTTGTTGCTACAGAAGCGGACATCGCCCGGCCGGGTCATTGTGAATGTGAATACAAAAGCGACGGAAAAGGCAGGCGAGTACATGTGGCGTTGCGCACGAAATGATAAACAGTAATGGTGCGAAACACCGCGTATGGCGACACGCACAGAGAACAGGGAGCTGGCGAGGAACAAGGAGATCATGGTCGACATCGTCAGAGGGGTCATCAAGCGGCGGTCGGGTCGGGGTCAGAGGTCACGAGGTCACGGCCAGGGTCGCCCAGCAGGGATGGCGGCGGCGAGGACCCCGCAAAGCAGATCCCGCTTCTGCAGCAGCGGACTCGACTCATCCACCTTCAAATCACGCCGCTTCAAAAGGAGCCGCACCGCGCCGGCCCAGTCGGGATGGGCCGGGCGGACGAAAATGAGCGAAGCCAGCTCCCTAATGAGCGCCACACACACACTCACACACACGCTGCCGCGGGGTCGTGAGCGATGCAGCCTCGCAGACTCCTCCGCCTCCACCCATCCTTAAGGTGAGGTGCATCTCACTCTGCACGCCGCGGTCCACTTGTTGAGCTGGGAGGTGTTTGCAGGAGGTCCAGCGTGCGCGAGAAAGCTTACAAGATTGGTGCGCTTTCCATCCGATAAGCATCCGAGGGCGCATCCTCCCCTGCTCGGCACCACCGGAAGCTGCTCGGAGCGTGAGAGAGGGTGGTGCGGCGTGTGGGCTCCTGGGCCCCCAACCTCTCCCAGGGCGCGCCCCCGCCACGCCACGCCACGCCACGCCACGCCAAGGGTCACGGGTAACAAGAACCATGACGAGGTGGTGCCAGGTGGTGCACGAAGTGGGGGCTGGGGGCGCCCTTTGTAGGGGCCTGGGCGCAGGCAGCCCCCGGGCAGCCAGGAGGCCGCAGGCCGGGCCCAGGCTGCAGCCTGCAGCGGCTGCAGCCCGCACACACGACAATTAAGCAAAGTTGAAACGCTTTCCGCCAACTCGATGTACTAAATAACCAAAACCGGCGGTCAGAGCCGCCGCCCGCCCGAACGGAGTTGCCAAAACATTTTTAATGGTTCTGTTCGTTAGGTGTTCACGTCGCCGTCCATTGCTTCGTTAGGCCGGGCACGCCTAAATTACAGTGTTTACAGGACCGCCCGGGTGGGGCGCCGCGAGGGTACCGGCCGCGGGTCCGTCCACCCCGCTCCTCTCGCACCCGGAGGGGCTGGAGACGAGTCGCCGCTCGCCGCCCGTGGCGCGCAAAGTGTTGCCGGACCGGCCGACTAAATTCAGTCATTTTCACGACGCGAGAACGCTCGGCCGCCTCGCCGCCTGCTGCCGGACCAATTTGTTATCCGATACATCGCGGCACGGCGGGGCGAGTCTGTTCCTTTTTGTTTTATCTTCCTCGTCCTCCGGCGGGTGCTCGACCGGATGCCTGATCGCCGGGCGCGGCACGCGTGTGGCGCGCGGCCCCGGGGCGTTCAGAGGTCCAGCACAGCCCGCCTACGGACGGACCTGCGGACCTACGATCCCAAAGGTCCCTTTTGGGAGCCCATCCCGGAGGTTCTGCCCACGCGCGACATCGTGGCCGCGCTCGCGTGGCCGCGGACCCCGTGCGCCTCAACCGAGGCAGCAGCCCGTGCCTCCAGAGACGATCAATTGAAGCGTGGAGCGACAAACAAACAAGCTTATTATTTAATATATTTTTTCGGTGAGTCTCTCCCCCCCCCCTTTCCTTTCCCTCCACTAAAATAAAAAGAGACGAAGAAAAATGCCGGCTATAATATGACACGGGGGTCCTGAAATTGGTGTGTGGCGTTATTAGGGCCCTTGCCCCGGGGCGACACAATTTCTAAGGAACGTGACTTGAATAATGTCCACCTGAAGCCGAGGCCGGACCCGCCGCAGCACCGCACCGCGCGGCCCTCGCGCCTCTAGCCTCGCCAAAGCCCACCCGTGATTACGGTATCCCCCGGGTATCCACCCAGGACCCGACCCGACCAGCGACAAACGGCGCGTGAACACGAGTATTAAAACACCTTCGATGGCGACAGATTCCCAGCCGTCGTCGTCGACAACGAGGCCCTCTCGCGTCCCCCTAAACTGTGGCTTTTTATTCTCCCGGCTCCCTGCACCGCTCCACGCGCCGGGGATAACTCTCACGTCAAACACTTCCCCGGGCGCCGCTCCACCCCGCC